TTCACTTTTTATTTTTTCCTCATATTTAATTTTGAATATGATTAATTAAAAAAAAAAAAATTTTGCGGTCAAAGTAATTATAATAATTCAAAATTTGATAAATGTTGATTCTTTTCAATGTCCAGATGTTAATGATGAAATTTAATGTCTTAATGTACAAATTTTAAAAATTAGTTTTGTTGAGTTTCACTACTCTTGCACTATAAATGCAATCAGAATTTCAGTAATGCAAAAATTTCGTTTAAGTAGAGGTTTAGAAGTGTAGGTTAAAATATTATTAATTTAATTTGTGAAATATCGGTGATATTAGGATAACAGTAAAATTTTTGCATATATAATTTGTTGCAAAATTAAATTATTGCAAACAAAGCTTTATGGTAAATAATTTATTGCTGCCTGCTTTATTAAACACGATTCAAAACTTTTATAGGGATCAATAGCTCTGCATACAGCTAACACGAAGGACAAAGTTCAAGCCTTCCATTTGAGCTCTATATTATTTGGACATTTTCAATAAACTGAAAAGAAAATTTTTAACATTTAATTACAAATTAAAATTATGTAAAATTCTTTTCTTCTTAAATGTCTTTTAAATTATCTTACATAATCTTAGGGTAATGAATTCATGTAACTGATCCAATAACAGGGATAACTGTGTTCCTCCACTTGTTGAAGAATGACCAAGACCATACATTGTGAAATATTACATGTTTTATTAAAATTCTAAGAGAAAGTATTGTTTTGAACAAATTTAAGTTAGTTTAAAATTGTGAGGAATGATTTCAAATTAATTTGTGAACCTATTACAATTCAATTATCTTCAATTAGAAATTGTCGATATGTGTAACTCTATCAATTTATGTATGTATGTAGTTAAAAATATTTAAAGAAATGATCGTATTAATATTGAGTCTCAAAACTTATTCATTTTTCAAGAAAAGAAGTTGAAATTCTGTACAAGAATAGGAAGGTACATTTCTAATTTGTTTACTGCAAAATATAAGTAGTTATGTAGCGCTCAATAAAGTTGGAAAAAAGATAGACTCAATATAAGCAAAAATGTTGTTTAAATAAACATTGAAAAACCTTAACATTTGATAATTTTTATTAAATTTTCATTTTATTTTTATAATTTCTAAAATTAAGTTAAAAATTTCAGAAATTATGAATAGTTTATTGCACATTTTGTACAAATAATGAATAAAAATAAATTATTTTATTCAATTGAAATTGTGTCATATTGAAATTAACCCTTAAATACCGACATAACAAGTTTATAAATTTACTGACCTAAGTCTTAGGGACCAGTACAAGATTAAAAAATCAAAAACTTATCAAACGTTTTTTTTTTATAGGGTCATCACATAACAGTACAAATTAGTCTTGAATCGAAATATCGGAGCATTGTAGCATTTGTGCAAATTTTTGACAGATACTGTTGTTGACATTTCCTATAGACTAAAGCGTATTCATTTTTAAACATTACCCGTACAAAGGACAGGTAATTTAATTTCTGGGTTATCAGCTAAATCAAGTTCTCAGGAAGTGCTATTGTTATTGTGATTTTGAATATATACCGATTAAAGTTGAAAATCTATTAGATATTAACCTGATTTATTTTGCTAAGCAATTGGGAAATGTAAAAATTCAAGAAAACTTTAAAGGTCTGTAGCCAACAATATTTAAGAGTTAAATATAGAAAAATAAATGAAACCTTTATTCACTAATACATGATATAATAGAGGAACACAGACATCAATTGACAGAAAAGCCTTTCTGCCTCATTGCGTCATAATTTCATTTGTACTGAAAGAAATAAACATAAAAGTACAAAAACAGAATAATTTTACAAAGCAACAATTCCAATTATTTTTTATATTAAACTTTATATGCATTGCATACATTTATATTGTAATTCTTATGAAAATTTTGACTGTTAATATGTCGTAATTGTGTAAAGCATATACGGAATTTTATACGTTCAGAACAACAAGTTGGCTTTATTTAAACTCTTATCCACATACATATAAGGGCTATGAATTTCATATACGTATTATGTATATTAATAAAAATGTATTTATGGCCTCAAATCAAATACAAATCAGAATTTCTTTACCATGGTATAATTATTTTTTCGCGCAAATTCATTTTAAAATGCATGCAAAACACACATCAAAGATGCCGACACTTGGGTGGTTGTGATACTTATTGCCTTTCGTTTGATTTTTCAATTTCGTTTATGTGATTTTGTTACAACTAGAGTACACATACAAACACGTTACTAATACATATATATACACATGTATAAAATATTTTTTGTATTCCAGGATTTATACAGTTAACATACACATGCCTGAGTATATGGTTCATTAATTGCAATTCAGTATTGTATAATGATCGGAAAATTAGAGAGACAAGAATCAAGCAAAATTATTATTTATATAAAAGAGAAAAAGGCATTAAAAGTAAAAAACTTTAGAACTCTGGCTTAATGAGAATGAAATTCAATAAATTATAAACATAAATACATATTCGTTCATGTATGTATGTAGGATAGTGTATGTAAAGATACAATAAAATCTTGTTATTAAAGCCGCTTAAAAGCAAACATTACTGTTTTCAAACAACTTTAGATCTAAATAAAGAAAACAATCTATTAGAAAATTTCACTTGTTACAAATGTATAGTTTTGCATTCATTTAGAAGAAATATTTGATGGTAAGTAAAAATTTGTACTACATAGAAGTAAAGAGATTGAATTAAATTTGTAGAAGCGTGGATGTTTTATAGAAATATCATGAAATTTTTTGAAAATGTTCCAATAAATTAACAAAAGTTCTGAACACAATATACCAGCCGCGTGGGAAATAAAACATTTTGTTAACTTTATTACTGGCAGTAATATCCTTTCTCTTACACCAGTTCCAATGATAATCTATACTCAATAAATAATATTCAAAAATATAAAGTCTACCTAAACAATTTTCTAAGAGTTTTTGGAATACATTAGCTTTACATTACGTTTTTCTACTGGTGATTATTTGCGCACACGCGTTTAATAGCTAGATAGTTCGACATTTAGATTTCCAAAGAACAAAATTAACATTAGATTACATTAACTAATTTCATTTCTTACGTCTGCTTTCTTACAAAATTTATGGAATATAACAAACTTTCTTGATGAACTTGCACTTAGAGAAAAATTTTTGCAATCATTTTTGAAATATAATTATATATTAATTGAATAAGCTTAATATGCTTAATCAATATACAAACACGGGTATGGAATGAAACTAACAGATAATATTTTTCTAAAACGTTGGGGAAATTGTTCCCTAAAACAGCTTGTTTACTGACTACCTTACATTGTTTAAGTGCATTTTCAATTATCATGTTGAGGATTTCATATTTAAATATTCTACTATAAATTTCTTTGTATGTATGTATTCGAATAAAAATATTAAGAATTATTTTCCTATACTTATGCAAATTTTAATATTATTTCGGAAATGTTTTCATTTTTTTTTATTCAATGTTCAGATAATGATATTCATAATTTTTATACAGATATACTCTTAGAAAAATCTGACAATAAATGGAAAGGCGTTAAATTTTCCACCACTAATTTAGCGTTGATTTTATTAGAGGTCATTAATTTATGGTTATGCGATAAAATTAAAAAAAGTTTTTTTACAATTTTTTTTTCTTCAATTCCCTTTTTATTTTTTTTGTTATTATGTAACATTATTAACATCACATTTCTTTGATGAATTGATTGTAAGTGCCGGACTTTGAATTAAATGTAAACGAATATTTTATAATCTTAATGTGAATGTAATAATTACATGACTCATTCGACAATAAAGGAAAAAGGAACCTCAAAAATATTAAAAACAATAATTTTGAATGTTTCTGATGATTTTTGTTATTGTTATTAAAAAATTAAATTGTAAGCAAAGTTTTTTAACTTCTATATTTCAAAACAACTTCAAAACGAATTGTAAAAGCGATTTTTTACTCATAACTTTGCAAATTGCACACATGTATTATTGTTTCAAATTGCAGGTAGCACATGAATTACACTTCATAGTTACAATTTGAAGCTTGTTATTTATATTCAACTGAAATTTCATATAGGTACAACTATTGCCGTATTTTTTATTAAAGCACATGAAAAATGGGTAAAATTTAAATTAAACTATAAACTTTATAGACTCAAACATGGCTAACATTTTTGATTAAGATTTAAGTGGTGATTAAGATTTATGGAAAACTCCACTCATAATATTTTTCAGAGCTTTTTTTAACAATCATACATAAAAGTTCTCAGAAAATCTACTCTAGAGACAGGAAACAATATGTAGAAAGATTCAAAATTCTGTCAAATTTGCAACTAAAAATGGTTACTGAAATCAAACAAAGATATGCAACATAAAATTTTCAATCTCAATTATTCAACGTTGATACAAAAAATTCACAACTCAAGGCATTTTAATTTGTTACAGACACTCTCAAATTGTTGAAAACAATTACTAACTGTAAGTATAAGTATTTTATAATGGTTCCAAAGAGTATTATGGTAACTTCAATAGCAATGCAAAGCATTTTAATAATTATAATACTCTAAAATAATCAGTGTTCTTCAATGAATAAACTTTACTGAATTGAACCTCGTCAAGAATAAAGCTTTTATTCAAAAATAAAGATTTATTTTGTTGTTAATAAAATTCAACATTAAAAATTTGAGGAAACTTATTGGTTTAAATACGAAAGGAATTTCAAATTTCTAATTCTAAGAATTTAACTAATTTCGTTCTTTTATTAAAAAATACGATTATATTGACAAATATAGTAGATATAGAATATAGTAGACAAAATTTTAAGACATTATTACTATTGATATACATACAGTACTCGTGTCTATATCGTACACAAGTTAAACCTCATAATACTCACAAGTAATATAATTTTAAAAACTAAAAATATAGAAACTATTTTTCTTAGACATGTTCCTCGTTTTGAATAACCTGAAATGTTATAATTAAAATAAATAATTATTTACAATAGCTTCTTCGTTTTCCTGAAAAGTAACTATTTGGAGATACAACAACCTATCGAATCCATCAATTATTGTTTTATAGAGCGGAACCTAACCGTATTTTCTCTCGTGTTTAGAAATATTCTTAAATGCTTCTACAATTTATTAAAATGATCTATATTCTGCAAAAAATACGCCAGACACATATATTATTCGACTCAAATGGATTGTTAATTACATTTTTATAAATCATTCAATATTGAATTCAATATAGTAAACTACGAAAGCTTCCGGTTTTCGAATTCTAATTCAATTTCAAAATACCATAAAAACATTTTTCAAAATTTAATTTTCAACTGTAATTAATCGAAAATTTTTATATTTTGTTAATGAGACAAGCGAAGAAAGCATTTATTTTTTTTTCGAAACTGGAACAAAGCTATTGTCAATATAATTTTGTGTAAAATATGTAGTATACACTAGTAGATATTTACATATACCACTTATAAGCATTTAATAAGGAATATATGCATAGGTATATAGCGGCATCGTTTAACCATTTTTCCGATTTTTTATAACACCCCAGTTAAAAATTAAAACTTATAGCGATCATTAATGTCAAAGTCAAGTTAATCCTTTAACTTGTATATTGCTCAGTTGGACATCATAATTTTATTGACATCATCTGATTTTTTGTTGTTTTTTTTTATAATAATATTTAAAATTTAGTTATACTTGTTATAAAGATTGAATTCAATATCCGAACCAACCAAATATATTGTATACGCGGAATTAAAGTAGTTCAAACATAAATTCATTTTTTAATTTTGATGCCCTCATAAAAACTTAAAAAAGAAGAAAATTAAAAAACAAATTTTTATAGTACTTAATAGCTTGTATGTTGTTTTCGACAAGTTCGAATTAAGATTTTATAAGATTTTGTATTACCTATATATATGTATATATATAAAAACGAAATCGTTGTCATCAAAAATTGATGATGAAGATCATTATACTTATTTTAGAGCTGATTCGGTATTCGAATGATGCGGTACTATAATATTAAGAATTTATTATAGTTTAGTGTTTTTTTTTATTTTTCTGATTTTTTGCCAACGTTCTATATAAATGGTTTGTGGTATAAATTGACATAATTATCAGATTATATTATGTTCGGATATATGTACATATAAATTCAGTTTAGTTACCAAAATAGTTTAAATACTTAAATAATATTTTAAATATCTTGATGATCTAACAAGCTTTAATTATATAAAATCTTCTTTTTTTCTTCAGAACTTTAAATTTTCATAACAACCACGCCTTGATTTATGCAAATTTAATATATTCTTTTTTAGCACTTTTCTAAAAAATGTTTGAAAAAATTTGTGAAATTAGTTTCACACAGCCCTCGTCTGTCTGTTTGGCTGTCCGTTTGGCCGCTTTTTTAAAACTTCTACACCCTTGAAGATAGGAAGCCGAAATTTTATACAATTGGGTTTTTATTAGAAACTTATTTCCGTAGAAGAAAATTTTAACCTATCTCCCCCCTCTAAAAGTGATAGCCCCCCAACACTCTAAAAATTCCATTATTCCTCCCTTTCCTCTCAAATTATTGCCTTCTAAAATTTGTCAAATTTGAATTTTTTGCACTTTATATTTCCGCAACTGCAAGCTTTTTCAAATTCCTATAAATTCAACAAAATGGCGGTAAATGCCATACACATAAAAAAATAATTATTTTCCTTAACTCCCATGATTCCTTAAATTTGAGTATTATTTTTTTAAAAGCAGTATTTTCACTTGTTAAAGGGAAAATTTCTACATTTTAAACCAAAGGTTTGACTTTATTTTTAAATTTAATTTTCATTACCTTTTTATCGTTTTAAATCTATTATTTATATTTTATAGGAAAAAAATTAATTTCTGAATTTTTTCTATTAGTATTTATGATTGAGCCAATAAATTAATAATAGAGAACTTTAACACTCAATTTTTTATATGTATAAAATATTCGATTTTATAAGAATTCTTTAATGTGATTTCCTAAAAAAAATTCTTGAGTTAGGAATTTGTGACTTTAATTTGAAAAGCCCCTAAGGAAATTCAATTTTCTGCATACTTTAAAACAATTTCCTACAAATTCTATAATATTTAAAAAAACAACCTTCTGGGTGCTACTATCGTGATTACATCAATAATATCTTGTAGCCTACTTTTAAGTGAACCAAAAATTTTTAAATATACGCAGTTGTCTATTTAGATTTTAATATAAATTATAGTTTTATATAAACAAATCGACTTGGTTGTTTTCTTTCTAATTGATGAACAAATTATGTATTCACAATATCTTAAATTAAGAAAAATCTAGAATTTCCAACTTATGCTTTTTGAGTGCCAATTGATTTTATGTATTTGATCGAGTTTTTTATAATATAAATATAGTTAACAAATTTATTCTTACACATAAAACTTGATCGTTTACTAATCTTCCTTTGCCTATTACAATCCGAATAATTAAAATATGAAACGAATATTTTAATTATTTCCGATGCAGTATAATATTTAGTGTTAATTGAAATACTGTTCTTCTTATAAAAATAATAAGTTATTATATTGCTTATTATTGCTTTATTGTTTTCTCCTAATAAGAAATACCTTATTTTTCTCTAATGAAATGTTATATTGCTCTCATTATTCTTTAAGGAGAATAATGAGAGCAATATAAAACTATCAGCAACATTTTTAAATTTTCATCGAATAAAACTTACAGAAACTGTTCTCATTACATTTTTCTTCTCTTGTTTTAGACGAAATTATAATGTTATACACAATACACTAAGTAATTTACAAAAATGTTAATTTTATTAAAAAAATCGTATTTTATATTTTTATTATTATTATTACGTAAAGGAAATAAGGCATAAAAATATTTTTAAGTTCGACATGAAAGAAATATAAATTTACACACATACATACATTTATATAAAAAGATATACGAGTATAACAAAATGTCTTTGGTACTTCCAGTAGGATGAATATAAATTCAGAGATAATTATCATTGCGGTAACAAGTTCATTTTAGCACCTATTAACAAGATCATAAATTAAAGAAATATAGACTGCAATCTTAATTGCAATTGTATAAAATTGCAAAAAAAAAAAATCAATTTATAAATTTATTAAGTTTTTTGTATTTTTTTTAAGGTTTTGTACTGACATATGCTTATACACATATTATACTTATAATTTTAATTAATCGCTTTCGAATAAATTTAAGAATTAAAATTTTTATATTGAGATTTTGCTGTAGGTATAACGTTGGAACCTTTAAACTGACTTTTTTGAAGTTTCAAGAAAATTGTCGCAGCCAATGTCGAAAACATGATTCCGCAATTTTAATATAATTTTCATATAAAAAAGTTTCCATTTATTAATAAGCTGACCTTATTAAGTTTTTAATTATAAAAGTAATTAAATTAATTAAACAAAATTAAAAGAAAAATATTTTTAATAATCCAATCTTTAAATAAAATGCTTACAATAATTAAAACTTGAATTTAAAAAATAACTTAATTAAAAAATATGTTTGAGTAATTAATTCTAACATTTTGGGAAAATGGAATTCAATAAAGTTGGGTCAAGCCACTGATTTGTATTGTAGCACTTTTCCCTTCAACAAGTGAAAATACTGCTTTGACATACAATCTATGTATACCTACCACACTATTAAAATTTTTTTCATTCATAAACGAAACTATTTCTAGGATTGCATATATTTAGGATGAAAGATTTATGCAGTCTTTAAAATAAAACAAAAAATAATTTGAAAAGGGGTTAACATAATGCTCGATTTTAAGGGCTAATTGCGAGAGCTAAGAAAAATAATAATATTTTTTAATGTCATTGAATTTACCATTAGAGTGAAACGTACAGAGTGAAACTAATAAGCACTTTTTTTCGAAATTTTTTTGGAAAAGTGCAAAAAATGAATGCATAAATTGTATTTTACAAAAAATTTTAGTCCACAAAAGATTGGATTGACAAGTTACCCGCAGAATTATGTCAATCGAGTAATAAATTATATGTATGTAGGTATAAGTATGTCTAATAGATTTTCTCTAAATTTTCAAGATTTTTGTTGCAGATTATGAATTTTAAAAATATTTTTTGAATTAAATTTTCTAATTTAAAGAAAATTACATGAAATTCCGGTGTGTACGTCAAACTAACTAAGGCTTATTGGTAGCTGCTTAGATCTACCAATAAACCTTAGTTAGTTTAACTTGATCAGAGTAAGCCGCAACTCTTAGAGAATAGATTTCATTTGAGAGTAAACTTGTTTCATAGGATGAAAGATTACTGAAATTTGAATGCATAAAATGTATCCGTGAATTTTGTTTGATGGAAAATACAGAAGGCCGTCTTATTTTAATCAGACAAAGTCCATGAGCAATACTTGATATGAAACACTTATTTAAACACTAATAAATATTTTTTGAATGCTTTTGAATACCGTTGGGTAGCAGTAACTAGAAATTGGTTAGCCTAATTGCGTGTCTGTTTGCCTAATTTCAGGAAATTGCTATGAAGCTTTTCCAATCTGAAAATGTGTCTTTATTGATAATGAAAACCATAGATTTTTCTTTATAACCGCATAACGCTACAGTTCCTGCGAAATTAAAGTAAAAATTAAAGTTTTCGCTTTTCTCTTCTAATTAATTGTCTACAATTTAACCAAATTTGTTAATTGATAAATGTTTCCATTTAAAGATATTCTATATACACATTATACTCGTATTTTAAGTGTTGCCGATCTTATCAATTTCAGCAACTATCTTTCCTTCCATTTAGTTCAATAAAATAATATAATGCGTACAATTATATTATGCAAATAAAACTTTAGCTATTAGTGTCTAGTTCAAACCAACAAGTAAAGCCAACTACAAATCCAATTCTTAATTTAATTAGCATAATATAATGTAGCAT